AAAATAATTTTCGGTCCCGAAAACTGGATCACAGATTTCGACCTGGCGACACCTGCCGTGTCGATATTTCTTTTAAGAGATATTATCACTCCAGTTGGAAGTTGCATTTACCTAATTTACGTGTTTCAAAGAGAAATCTCTTGGAAAAAAATCTTGATGAAAATTTTTTTGAAGCAAACAAATTTTGGTCATAGAAACCGGCTCACGAAATTTCGACCTATAATCAAAGTCGAAAAATCGTGAGCCGAAAATTATTTTTCTTCTTCATATGCAAGTTTCTCTCCAAAATCAACATTTTTCTACAGAATAATTTTGAAATAATACTATGTACCATGTTTGATGAGAAATTTCAATAAACAATAATGTCACATCTTATTTTGGTTGCCGCAACATGTGTCAGGTCAATTTTTTGGTCTCATTTTTTCTACTACGTCGCTATATTACAGGGACCATGAAGTTATTTTTTTAAAGTTCTTGAACGTGAGGTTGAAATTTTGTGATCCAGTTTTTAAGACCGAAAATGGTGGTCTGTTGACCTAGAGGCGCGAAAATCGTTCGTCTTATCTGGAACTGGAAGTGGAACTTGAAGTGTCATTATGCGACACAGATGTCTATTATGGTCTGTCAAAGTTTTAAGCCGTAGTCGTAAGAAACGTTTACAATAATTAATAATTAAATAATGTAAACTATAATAAATAATTTGAAATAAATTACAATTAAGTTAAATAAATAGCAAGAGGAATTTTACAATAAATTAAAACATTAAAATTATGCGGTACAGGGACTGACTGTGCAGGGGGCGACAGCAACTGTTTATGACCCCGTCCAATGTCGATGGTCAGGTGACGGTGGCAACAACCGAAAATGAAGATATCTAATACAAATGTAAGCAGAAAAAAATACAGAGCATACACATAACAATTGTCTTTTAAGACCTCACAAAGTGTTAATTCCTATGCTTTTAAATCATTCCTTTATCCCAATTGACTGATCTCGGTGAAAAAAACATTTCCATTTGTTTAAGTTTTGAATCGCTATGTTTTAACTTAAACTTACAACGAGGTCGTCGTTATCGCCCTCAGAGGGTGCTCTGGACGGCAGACTCTGGAGGTTATCGTCAGCGTCTAGGGGCTGGCTGGACTTCTGTAAGCAAAAAGTCATTGGTTAGTTTAAACAAGTTGACACAATTATCGTTGGTTAGTTTTTACTAAAAAAATTGGAAATGTAAAAAAACTAACCCAATGATTTCAATTAAAAGCAAATCTATCATTATAACAATTAACACGGGCTTTCCCATCTGTAACTGTGGGACGAGCGACGTAGATTTGCACAGCAAAGAAAACACGATGTTACACTTTTTACAATATATACATTTATTTACACTACATACATGTACAAATATATGACATAAAACAGCTAATTACACCACATCGACACACAAACACACTCCCTCTTAACACAGAAATACATATGAAAGTCTCTGAAAGTCTCTGGGGTATCCCCTCCGTCCTTCGAATATTCCCAATGTACTCCTCTGGGTGGTCTAACGCACACCAGCTATGAACACAGCAGTCCGAACACTAATCCAATATCGCCACACACAATGGCTAGCCCAGGCAAAATCAAATGTGACTCCGAGTTGCTCAAACAAGGCAACACACCATCAACCGGTGACACCAACCACATCGGTGTATATGGACGATCTTCCAGCACATACATATGTCAGGATAGTTGGCATGATCTCCCGGTGACAACTCTGGACGATGGAGAACAAACGTCCGCCTCAGATCTACACACTAATGACTCCGTCATAATCATATCAAGGTCGCGCTTCCATACTTTTACAACCTAGTCAAACTGACGTTTGTAAGTTAACAACAATAAATGGTATTTGGCATAAATAATCTAGGACATAAAGTAATCACTAATTATAAATCAATATAGACAGCAATACAAACTAACTAGATAGCAAATAGGTAGTCTTGCGGTCCACAATATAAAACAACCTTGTATATGCAATCTACGGGTCTCCATACATACTGATAATTCATATATCAGATAACATTAGGAAAGTTACCAATACTGGTATAAAATGATTAATACATTGCATTTATACTATTATTTTAATCATAACACCAATGCATAACGCTTATAGCATGCCTAAATAAACCATACACGATATTATATAAACATACGAACACAATAACAACTCAGTTACGCTGGAGTGGACCGCACTATCTGGAAATGCTCGACCGGTCGTTATCAGGTAAATACAGGTAAAACGGGCAACATATATAACCAAGGGACAAAAAAAAGTATCAATACTCACCACAGTCAGCTATCTGTGTTTTCAATACATTTGCGGCCTACGGAGACTGTAAATAACTCCGTACTGAAACTATAGCACGATTACCGCCATGTTTCAAAATGTATTCTCCCCTCGGAACCTCTCTCATCTTATCAAACTTACCTGATCAAGCCGGCTTCGGTAATATAGGGTGCAATCCACCAAGTTACAACATAATACATACTACACACACAAAACAACAGAATACGAATAAAATACATAAAGTTATATATGCGACCGTGACACCATCAATGCAAATTTATCATTACTTATTTTTGCACTGTATTAGCAATCAACACAATTTCTTCAGATAAAACGAAATTTATCATTACTACCAATCAACATGGACTTTTTCATCAAACTGTTACACATACCTGGTGGATGTTATTTATGGTCTCCCAAGCGCTGACTCTCCTTCTTCATGCAAGACTTGTCATAATACTTGTCTGCCGTCCTTGGGTTGTGAGCCATGTGCTTGGCTAATACCCTCTGCTGATGGCGGTTTCCTCCAGCATCTCGTAACGTTGAAACCGCCATCTTCCTGCACAACGTGGCAGTGAGGGGTGGCAGATCCTTGCCGATGTTGATGGCATGTCTCTGCCACTCCTTCTTGACGACCTTGACCATGGTCTAAAAATAAAAGAAATAATCAATTTTTGAAAACCCAGGTTTACGTTGGAATTAAATCGTTTCTACAAATACTGATAACATAAATTAAATCTTGTGGTCGTTAAATTCGTAAACATTTCTCTAGAAACTGCCTTGGTTGATCTGCTTTCTGCAAGTAGAAAGAGAAGCTCCCTCTGAAATATAACTTGTAAACAACACTCACCGTGCCGGAGAGCTTCTTTCCTTTGTCGGTAGTGAAGACCAGCTCCGACGCGACGGCATTGCTCCCCTTGGCCACGTATGCTCTGAGGTCCTGAAGAAGGGACGGTATCACCAGTAACAGGCATTCCTTCCCCGACCGAGCTTCCTTGTGGTCGTAAATCTGTGAACAGAAAAGTAGCTTAGTATAAAGAAAAAAATTGATATCACATTCTGCAACTTTCTTTTCTTTAAAAACTATCTTTAACTAGTAAATTGATATATTACACTCGTGTCAATGTCATATGACATAAATTATTGAATTAATTTAATAAATTCCATAATGCATTCCTAAATAGAGTAAACAATATATCGGCTGAGATAAAAATAGTTGAACCAGATGTTCTTCCCACTATGGCAATCCATTGCTCACGTGACGTCATTTGATTGTTGTTGTTCAATTAATACACATGTGTAGTAAAGAAAAATTATGTCGTGGTTTTATTACATCGTAAAACAGTGGTTTCCCATACCATCAGCTCGGTCGGTTCTGGACCGGCAGTCTGGACACGCTGGAGCTCCCTGCGCTCCAGGTTGGCCAAATCTCCAGACCGCTTCCCGTTGGTGATGGAGAGCTGAACCAGCAGCCCGTCCCTCGCCTCACAGCTGTCCGACCGGCTGAGAGGTGCATCCTTAGACAAAAATGCATGCACACTCTTCGGACGGGCATCTGTGAGGTAGGACCCGAACATGTCCGGCGTGAGGTCCAGGCCCGCCCTTTCCCTCACGGCCTCTGTGAACAAAGAAAAGAATGTTAAGTTTCGTACTGACAAAAATGCAGTTTTTCCTCTTCTACTTCCAAATGAAAAAGGTCAAATCAAAAAGTGCATCAATAAATAAAATTTTACACTTTCCTACAGAATCAGTTTATTTTTGGCTCGTGAAACAAGCTCACAGATAATGTCCGATCAAAATATTGATTCAGATTTTAGGGCTGAACATTTCTTGTATGAAACAAACCTGTGACATTCTTTCCATATTCTCTCGAGAATAAAAGGGAACTTATTCAATTCCTTGATATCACAATTATTAACCTTACCTCTGCACCGCTGCCTTCTGGACCTCCTCATCCAAGGACCCGGCGATAAGGCGCAGGGAATTCCGCAGAGTTTGTAGGTACTCTGCCTGGACCTTCAAATGGGCCTGCCACTTGAAGGACCCAGACAGGAACTCTACGAAAATCCACAGGGAGGCCAGGTAGACTTTAACTGTATCTGGTTTCAGTCTGGAAAGTAAAAAAAAAGTACAGGGTATTTAAACCTGACTGAGTACAGAAAACCAAGTTAAAATCAATACGTTATTGTCACACATACATTGTTCAGTTTCGGGCTTAATAAAAAAAACCTGGTCAGCTTACTGTAAGTGTCATGTTTCTGCCACATGTATTGATTGAAACTTACCTCGTTAACATCTGGTCTACCGGCCCTCCTTCCGTCCCAGTGGTCTCCAGGCCCTTGAGTGTCTCCTTGTTGAGACCACTGGGAAGGAACGCCTTAACTGCCGTTACATGGCTGGCCAGCGTCTTTTCGGTCATGCGCCGGCCACTCGCCCGGTCCTTACATCTGTCCCTGTCATGAATATTTTGTAATTATTTCATCAATAATTTTGTAACAGATTAGACAAAGTTTGATGGTTTTCTTCATTTTATCACGTTTTCTCTGAAAACTTGAAGAATGGGAAAGCAACAGTTTCCCTGCAAATTAAATTTATAATGTTGATGATTAAAATGTGCCATCTGTACTTACAAGTAATCCTGTAGGGCCTTTTGAAGGGTCGACATCTTCACCTAAGCCCTGTCGGAGGACCCGCCTGCGGACATCGCCAACAGGAACTGAGGTGAGCCCCGGACCATGCTGTGTTTCCGGATGAGGTTAAGGTCCAGGCGCACAGTCTGCACACCACATTCAGCCTCCGGACAAACCCGTTCTGGATATAAACGTGGGGTCCGGATGGACTGAATGTGGTTCTTGGCCTGGACCTTCATCATCTTGTGGAACTACAATGTACAAAAGTAATCAGAAACGTTAACGTCATGTTAATTAATGCTGACAAGTTTTCAAAATAAACACACATAAAACGCCTGTTTCACAAAAACATATGCCCAAACTTGTAACTCTATTATGACTAGACCTCGGGTCATTGTGATGTATATGAGTCACTGTCACTGTGTATCATTTATTCCCAGTAGGAAACGTGCTGTGATATGAATACGAAAATAGGTGGAACTTACTTGTCTCAAGTGCCGTGGTAGGCTTGATGTTATCCGCCCGCATCCCTCTATCGTGCACGAGTATTTTGAATAAATCTGTAAAGTGAAAGGCTAAAAACAGTGCTTTCTTTTTCAAAATATTATGTGTGAAGCTTCTTGTCCAACAACATGTGATCCAAGGCATTAAATCGAACATCTTAATTATTAGAAAAAAAGTTAGATCCACAGCAAGGTTTATACAGATCGGAACAGGAGAATAACAACTTGAATATAATGGAACACAAACAGAATTTTACTGACATTCTTTCGATTTATGTTTTGCGCCCGTGCCTCCTCCTCCACCACCTCCTCCTCCTCTACCTCCATCATCTCCTCATCCTGCTCCTCCCTGTATACTATTTTTTCTGCCTTTGAAGGTCGCCATTCATCGTCACTATCTGTTGTCGTTTATAATTGTTCAGTGTGTTACTGTGGTAATGTATGATAGTGGCAAAGCCACACAATAAAGAGATATCTAGATATTGAACAAAGGTGGAGTCAACATAGTCACGCTGGACCTCATTGTATAACACCAGGTTGAGTGGCAAAGGTATTTAACATGACAAATACTTGCTACATGAAACTTTTAAACGAAAATGATTTTATCAGCCTGAAGTACATAAAATGTCAGTTATTTTGACACCATATATGGTATATTGGCATAAAAAAATTCCTCCAATATATCATACAGTATCTTAATGATGTTTTTTTTTTTCAATTACAACCAAACCTTCTAAATCCTCCTCAAAGTCCTCCTCCTCCTGCTCCTGTAAAGATTATCATGAAAATACATTTCGTTTTGATCCTTAAAATCTCTGCTAACAGATCATGAATGAAAATACATTTCGCTTTGATCCTTAAAATCTCTGCTAACAGATCATGAATGAAAATACATTTCGTTTTGATCCTTAAAATCTCTGCTAACAGATCATGAATGAAAATACATTTCGTTTTGATCCTTAAAATCTCTGCTAACAGATTAGCGGCTTGGAACACTTCATATATTCTCAGGTCGATAAAATATTATCCCAATTTTGCGACCAAAATTGTGTACATATTAAAAGCAATGTTGTTTATATATTAAGAGCAATGCTTTTGTCAAAGTGAAGTTGAAATGAAATACTATTATTTGTCATTTGGATAGGAATTCATTAATGTTATAACTACCTTCCATCTCTCCTCTTTCTCCTCCTCAACCTCTTCTGCCACTGTCACCTCTCCCTCCTGTAAAGATTATAATGAATGAAAATACATTTCGTTTCAGTCCTTAAAACTCTGCTCGGAAATTAGCGACTTGCATTACCTTTCTAAAGGGAGCCGGGGATCCTTCGCCATCCTGAACTCTCTTCTTTTTCTGAACTGATTCTGTATTGATTTTGATTTGAGGTTACCATACTTACCATAACTTTAGTATGCAAATACAGTACCTACACCCATCTTTGTATCCCAACAACAAAAGATTCAAAAGAAAAACAATCCCGCCCTCCCTACGATCCATGAGCCATCACGGCAGGAACGCAGAGTGATCTCCCTTCCTCTAATAACCTTTATGGCGTAAACCCCACAGAGGGGCAGCCAGGTAGATAAGGAAGAGGGGAGGATAGGGTGGGACTCCATAAAGTTATGGTAAGTATTACATCATGAAAATTGGTTTTACATTAAAAAACCTCAATTTCATTTCAGTAATAATTACCATAACTTTAGTATGCGAATTCGTCTTACCGTAGTGGTGACTAGAAGCCAGGCAGCCCCTTCAGCACAACCAAAGTAGTAGGGAGGGAGAACAGAGTGCTAAAGTGAAGGAAGGGACCTCTCTGTGAAAGAGCAGGTGTACCCACATGCCGCCGTACGGAAAGACATGGCCCGGGGCTCACGAGGAGGCCCAGCCACTGACTATGCCACCACCAAAGGTCCCAATGAATACAGGCCTTCTGAGTGGGAAGCTAGGGATCACAGATAAAAATCTGTTAAGGTATCCCTGCCCTGCCAGAATACTGCAGACATGACCTCCTGAAAGGAGGACTCATTGAGAGAAGGGCCCAGGATGAAGCAAGGGCCCTGACCTCGTGAGACCGCGCTTTCGCTCTCGCCCGAGCCAGATCATCAAAATGCTCGTAAGCATACTAAATCACCTGGCAAACCCACCTGGAAACCGACTGGGAGGAGATATCTCGTTGCCCCTGTTTAATGGGCAAAACAGACGGGCTGTGCTGGTTGAGAGGCCAGCTGCCCATCATGTGTGGCATAGTCGGAAGCTGAAGCCTCCGACAATTCACCAACACTGAGCTGCAGACCGACAAACCCGGGAGCACGGGTAGAGAAGGAGTCCTTCTCTAAAACCGGAGCCCGGGCCGTGGCCAGAACCGAAGACATGATAATGCCTTCTGGCAGAGACCGATCTGAGCGAACGGAAGCCCGAGGAGCCACCAGGGAACCCAGAAGGATGGTGGATTCAGGCGCCGACGATGCTGAGGCAGTGGGCAAACCTCCGCCCTGAGAATCCGGGAGATGTTGGCCCGGAGGACCCGCATCCCAGAAAGCACATGCTGAGCCTCGGCTTCAGCAGTCTCAGGGTCATCTTCCCCTTGTGAACCCTCTTGGCCCAGGAGAAAGATGAATGACATCGTCTTCCTCTGCCGAGCCCGCACCCTGGATGTCCATCTCCTCCTCAATAGAGACCGAAGTCCCCTTGGGAGGAACAGGGGCCGCCAGAGGAGCCATCTCCGCAGAGGGGAACTCCTCTTTATGGCATTTGGACGCAGCGCGACCAACAGCTGTAGCTGTAGGCTTGGGTCGGAGACCCGAAGCCGACCCCTGGGAACAGGAGACCGACGGGTCCACGCTGGAGGCGGATGTCCTTAAGGTCTGGCAAACCTTTATAGGACCGACCAACAAGGCCCCCGAAGTAGCAGAACATTGGGGGGATTCCGCACTGCTATAACATCTCCTAGAGGAGAGACCAACCCCTATGGGTTCCACGAGTGAAGACCCATTGGGTAAAAACCCAAACCCCTGAGGGAATGGGAATGGTCCAGCGGGCCGGGAGTGACCCCAGAACTGGCCAAGATGGCCTGCCTGAGTCTGGGGCTGGACAACCTGTCCAAAGGACCAGGATGAACCGCCACTCCCACCAGGTGGAAACCCAGACATGTACAGGCTAAGCCGTAACTGCTGAGTAACTGTTGGTACCCAAAACCATCCGCAGGTTGGCATGGGCGACCCAGGAATAAGTGCCCGCAGGCACCCCTACTCCCTGAGCCCGGGGGAAAGGGAGACCGGAAACCGGACTCCTGGCCTGAAGCCCCAAACCCTTGGAGGAAAACCCCCTGGGAAACCCTGCACTGGGAAATCTGGATTGGGACGGAAGTCCCAGAGCCAGAAGCCTGTGAGGGTGGGAAAACAGACCCCGCACTGACACCAGGATTAGTGAACTCAAGTGTCACTAATCCCTGTAGCCACAGACAATCCTGACAAAAAGTCTGTGGCCCCTGACCCTATACCCGAAGGCACAGTTCCGGAGTCAAAGCCGCCCCCACCAACGACGCCACCTGGCGCGCCGAGGTCCCTGAAGGAATCAGAGATCTAGACCGGAAGTCCCTTTCCGACGGTAACACCGCCGGCTATCGAGAGCTACCGGCCAATTCGACCCTTGACTGTGCCGAGTCAGGGTCGGGCTGCCCCCCCCCACTCCAGGACGCACCTGGACAGTGGGAGCCACCCCCTGCTGAAGGGCGGAGCTCGGTGGAACGAGAGCACCCCCAGCAGGAACGCTCTGGTTCAGAACTTGAGGATGGGAGGTCTTAAAAAGCTTACTTCCCTTACCGGAAGAAGAGGACGAATCCCTCTTCTGGCGGAAAGTTAGCTGGAAAGGCATGGGAGCCTAAGCAGCAGACTCCATGTGCAAACAAAGTTCACATAGCGAGGTCTGGCTGCAATGTCGGCAAACGGGACAGGTATCATGGGGTTCCCAATATCTATAGAAATAGGAACATCCATGCGCTGACCCCCGACGTAAACCCGGCACTATTATCCAGCATAGAAACAATAAAAAATTGTAACAATGAAAACAAGGATAAAAAGTTTTCTAACAATCAAAAAACTACGAACGAGATCATAAAACCTACCGTACGCAGCAAGATTGTACTGCAAAAAAAAAGAAAACGGTCGTACAAAACGGCCGACAAAGCTGCAAGAAAACAATTTCAACTTCACAAAAATCCGAGTGATGAGACAAGTAGTCACGCACTCGAACACGCGGAGGAAAAACACGGCCAGAAACGAAGTTCTCGAACAATCAAAAAACTACGAACGAGAGCACAAAGCCTACCGTACGCAGCAAGATTGCACTGCATAAATAAAACGGTCGTACAACACGGCCGACAAAGCAGCAAGAAAACAAATTCCAACTTCACGCAATTCCGAGCAACGAGACAAGTAGTCACGCACTCGAATACGTGGAGGAAAAAACGGCCGGAAATACGGTCAAAATAAACAAATGACAATGGGAGATGGGTTTATAGACTACTAATAGAGTAACAATATACTCAAACGACAATGGCAGTACGAAGAGAAGGAGTAAGAAAAGCACTTAGCTCAGACACCTCCGCACTCGTCGGCAGCCATAAAGGTAAGAGGAAGGGAGATCACTCTGCGTTCTTGCCGTGATGGCTCATGGATCGTAGGGAGGGCGGGATTGTTTTTCTTTTGAATCTTTTGTTGTTGGATACAAAGATGGGTGTAGGTACTGTACTTGCATACTAAAGTTATGGTAATTATTACTGAAATGAAAACCAAAATTATGCAGTTATTACAAGCAATGTTTGTCGTGAGAGTTGATACAAAATGTCTGAATGAGTAATCATTGTAATGTATTTGATGTCTATAGAGATTTTTTTCTTTGAACTCCTAAGCGGCTTGTTACCTGTAACATACCCCAACTCGTCATTTTTTCTCACCTCCACTTTCCTCTCTTTTCTCTTAGCCTCCAGTTTCGCCCAAAAGCGAAAAACATAATCTGTATAAATCAGCCATTGTTAATAAGCATGTTCATACGGGCCACATTTACAGCTTTCATTTTGTTTGACCTCTATATCTATATCAGTCACTTGAAAACTATCTATCCTCACCTTCTTTCTCTCTTTCCTCTCCTTTCTTTTCTCCTCTTCTGCCTTCTTTTCCTCTTTCCTTTCTCATCCTTTCTTTCTCTCTTTTCTTTTCTCTCTCCTTCTCCTTTATGTCTTCTTCTTCCTTTTCTTTTCTCTTCATTTCCTTCTTTGCCTGTCTCCTCCTCCTCTTTTCTTTTGCTATGCTAACCTTCTATTAAAAGAGAATTAGCTTTAGCTTTTTTAAATAAATCCTTAATAAATAACTAAAATTGGCACAGGGAATTGCCATACGTATGTATTCGATTAAGTCTGATGGTACATTTTTTGTTTTCATACTTACGCCTTCTTCCTCATTAACAGTTGTCTCTGCCTGTTCCTCAATGATTTCTCCAATTATTTCTTTTTGCAACTGAAGTGAAAAAAAACATGGTTATTTTAGAATTGGATTTTGGTTGACCTCAACACTTGATGTAGGAAGAGATTTCGGGATGGGAATAGGTGTGTTTGTGTGTGACACAACAACTTAAAAATCTAGACAACTTCTTTAGCGTCCTCTTCTCCTCCCTCTTCCTCTCCCTCTCCTCCTTCCTCTGCTTCTTCCCCTCCTCTTCCTTTATTATTTTTTCAGTCTCCCTCTCTGCTCTCTCCAATTGTATTTCTCGCCTTCTATCTTCTTCCCTCCGCTTTGTCTCCTCTTCCCTCCTCCTACCCTCCTCTTCCCTCCTCCTTGCCATCTCCCTCCTGGCCATCTCCCTAATCACCTGCTCCTTCCTCTGTCTCTCCGCTTCTTTCTGCAAATTGAAATTATTGTATGTCAACATATGCTATTTAAGATTGTTTCTGATGATTACATGATATTGTGAAATAAAATATAACTGAAATGAAGAATTTAAAATATAACTGAAATGAAGAAACAAAACTTACCTTCTTCCTCCACCTCTTCTCCCTCTTCGTCTGAACTTTGACGTATTGACCTTGTACTCCTTCTTATATACAAATGGAAACAACATACTAATTAGAAAATTTGGTGTTGAAATGTCACTTTTTTTACCGTCCAGGACACTAGCACTAAAATACACAAAATAAAACCAGAACTGTGGATTCATTAAAGGGACCAGTTACTCACAGTGACATGTCGCTATATTACAGGAACTGGTTACCTATAGCAACATGTCTGTTCGTTACAGGGACCGATTAACTATAGTGACATGATGCTTCATTACAGGGACCGGTTACCTATAGCAATATGTCACTTCATTAAAGGGAGTGGTTACCTACAACAACATGTCACTTCATTACAGGGACCGGTTACCTATAGCAACATGTCCCTTCATTACAGGGACTGGTTACCTATAGCGAAATGAAGCTTCATTACAGGGACCGGTAACCAATAGCAACATGTCCCTTCATTACAGGGCCTGGTTACCTATAGCAACATGTCCTTTCATTACAGGGACCGGTTACCTATAGCAACATGTCCCTTCATTACAGGGACTGGTTTCCTATAGCGACATGTTGCTATAGGTAACCTGGGACCGTTTACCTATAGCAAAATGTCACTTCTTTACAGGGACCGGTATTATGGTGGGGTAAGGTGATCAGGAAATATTTTATTTAGATACGACATTTATATTTGAAATCACATCAATATGATATTGGCATTCAGTCATAATACTTAACATTGGATTTGCAATATGGCATAAGTAAACCATTAATGTTTCAAAATATTCTTTTAAGATCTGAAAATTTAATATACCGATAGAATCCTTTATCGTTCATGAACATTTTTGCTAAATTTCAGAAAGATCGGAGCAGAACTTACCATCTTTTCCTCGAATACCACCGTTCGCTTGTAAAGTGCCGCCAAGAACTTTTTCAATAATATTGAGGTAGCAGTACACAGTTTCTCGGTGTGGCCATGGGTGATTTTTGTGCTCATTAGATTACCCCATTATGAAGGTTTTAATTAAAAATGAAAAAAAAAAAATCCTTGCTAAAATTGGTCCTGTCATGTTAAAGTGGACAATGTGGGGTTTCATTTTTTTCAGGATAATATTTTAGCTTTGTGTTGGAGATTACTATTTGGGCAGTCTCGAATCTGTGTCTACGCACCAAAAACTAGCTTTACAGGAAGTGAAATTTTCATAGTGTTCACATGTGGTCATGTTATGAAGAATTTCCGAGTTGGAATTTGCTGAAATGTAAGTACTTTGTTACCATGACAGTGTTGTTGATTGTGAGATAGGTGTTTAGAATTAAATTTCTCCTAGAAAGTTGTAGTGTTGGGTTGAAATTAGCAGTATTTTTGTATTTTTAGCATTTTTTCAGTAGGTAACCATGACAATTAAATGTCAGAAATCAGAGGAAATTATTTTTACACAAATTTCATCTCTCTACTGTTGATGTAATTGTTATATAGTTTCATTATATCATTATATACATGTAATGATGTATTTTTCATAACCAATCTGCTATACCTGTATATCTCATACATGACAAATAATTTCAGGAAAAATGCAAATTAACTGTTTACTGCTACCTGAAAAGGGCGATAACTTAACTTCCTGTACTTAACTTCCTGTAAGATAACTGGACTAAGACCATAATTAATTTCACTATATGTTTCATTGTAACATTAAAATTCATAAAAGTCCCAAAGTTTCATCTGCAAATTTCCATTTCACCTGGCCAAGATCAACATCTGAGAAGCAAAATGTAAAAGTTTCAACCCATCATGTTGGGCATTTTCTGGAGATATACCTCCATGTGTGTCACCAACGTCAATTATATACATCCGGGTCAGGGGTAAAGGTGAAAACAGGACTTTTTACACCGGATACTGCAGCACAAAATACATGTTCAATATGAATGATTTACACACTGACAGCTAGATTATCATCTCTATAACACATCTACAGCAAATTTATACGCAAACATCCAACTCAAAGAGGCATATTATTTTTTTCCCAAATATACATACATTTTTTAGGGATTTCATTCGTGGGTACTGAACCCGGAAGTATTTAATTGTGGTCTTAGTCCTATTATTATAGGACACTTTTTTTTTAAATTTTAAAAGAAATATTTTCATCAACTGTGAGCTATTTCAAACATTTCGGCGTAAACAGAATCAGCGTAGGTCAAATAAAACAGGAGTTATGAAGAATTGAAAAACCCCTCTCAGACTGAGATTTTAACTCAGCTTTACATACACTTTGCTGTACATATCACAGACACCAAGCGTCAGGAAAAATGAAACAGATTTTGCAATTATTAAGATATTTCAGTTCTGTAAATTGGTATATAAACTTGAATAATTCCTACATATACCTATACAAAAAAGTTTTTCAATTTCAAATTACAACTTCATTTTTTTTCGTAGAATTTTAATTTTTTTTTTTAAATTACCAAATTTTAATATTAACTGAACATTTAATCTGCTTTAAAGCATTTTTCAGCTTTGATTTGGACATGAAATAATCAATAGATAACAGTGAAGACTTGCAGTAAACAATCACAGTGAATGACACCCACTGGACTAACTAACAGCCACATGTATACATACAAAGACTACCCATGCCAAAGGCAGGGGAGGGGGGGGTGTTCTCTTTGGGCCTTTATGTTTACTTTTGGGGCTCTCCCTGTCTCTGAAACACCTTTGATGTTATATTATCAAACAGGCAATGATGTGTATATCACAATGACCAATCAAATGGTCAGCTTCAGTTTGATTTTTGTATTCTTAATACATCTGACTACTTCTGACTGACCACTGCTGACCACACTGCTGACCACTACTGACCATTACTGACCATTACCAATATGAAGGGAGACAGAAAGAGAAGGAACAATTATTTCAAGCCTGGAAATGTTCCAAAGAATAAGGGCCAGGTATTTAAAGTTGAAGATCCTGAGGTACCTGTCACCAGAGAAGAGAGACCAGCTCTGACCAGAAGACTGACCACCCAGGAATTTCAGCTGATCACCAAGCCCAGTCCTGACGGCCTTTCCCTGGTAACAACAGATACTGGAGACAGACCATGTCCAACACGGATACTACGGCCAGCAACTGTTACAGCTGAAGAATCCAACTCTGAGCCTGTAATAGAAGGAAACCGGATCATCGACATAGTGTTGATGGTGAAAATGTGGAACGACATCATCAGACTTCACGCCGGACAACCAAACACTACATCATGCATGGTACCGGAGTTTGAACTGGACACCGAGCGGAAAAGGGCTCTGGGATGGAGTTGTGCTGTCCGATGTAATAAATGCCAGTACAGATCTCCACTGTACAAACTATATAGAGAGGCAGACACGGATAAGCCCGGACCAAAGCCAGCCCTTGTCAACAAGTACCTGCCTTCAGCTTTGTGTGGCCAGGCTGTCAGCACCAAAGGAGCCAGGTTACTTCTCGGACACCTGAATATACCTGCAGGAGCCAAGAGTGGAATGCAGCGACAGGCAAATCAAGTGTCCAAGGACATTACTGCCCTCAACAAAAAGGACATGTCCGAGAAGACCAGACTGGTGGTGGAGGCCAACACCCTGAGAGGAGATGATTCCCCGAGCACCATCGGACTAGCTGTGGATGGGCGGTACAACAGCACATCATTTGGAAGTGCTAAGAAGCCAGGGATGAATGCCTCACAGGGGTTAAGTCTGGGTATCGAGACATCTACCCCTAAGAAGTGGATACTTGGACGTGCCCTCCACAACAAACTTTGCTGGACAGGAGCTTGGCTGAGAGGGAAAGGATATGATGTCACCTGTCCTGGTGGTCATCCTGACTGCACAGCCAACACTGACCGACACGACAGCTTGTCCGAGTATGCCATGGGAAAGGACATTGGGGATCAACTGGCTACACAAGGCGTGCTAATAAAATATGCAACCACAGATGGCGTTGGAACTGGAGCCCAAGGCCTGGAGGAAGCCATGAGAGCCTTACATCCCATGTGGAAAGTGGAGAGACTGGCTGACCCAACCCACCTTGGCAGAGCACAGTTCCGGAAATGTAACAGTGCTAAGTGGAGCGAGTCAATGTTTCCTGGTCATACCAGACTGATGAGGTCTCATGCTCAGAAGGTATTTTCTCAAGACTTGAAAGCCCGGAGCAGTCTGATTTTCAAGGAATTGATGAAAATTCACTCCAGAGACATTGAGACTATCACGACTCGTTTACCTGCAGTGTTAGATGCAACTGTATCCTGCTACACAGGTGACTGCTCCAAGTGCAAGCAGCATTCCGTGCTGTGCTCTGGTGGTGACAGCGACAACTGGTGGGTGCGATCAATGTTCCTGAGTTCAAACCAGATCCATCAACTTCAAATGACATCGGAGGATGAGATGTTGGTGTTGGAGCTTCTGAAAATGAAACTCAGCACTGATGTTATTCGATCTATGAGACTCAGCACATCCACACAGAAAAATGAGGGTTGTCACAGAAGCCTGAATGTGTCTTTACCAAAACATCAGAATTTTGGAAGAAATGCTGAGGGGAGGTTAGACAATGCCATTCTGACCCTAAACAACACTGCAGGGAAAGCCATTCAAAAGAAGGTGGAACACTTTGGTGGTACTCTGAGTAGGGAGGTCAAACATAAACTTGATCAACTCAGCTCAGAGGAAATATATCAACGCCACCACCAATACAAACCTGCTGTCAAGAAAAGAAGTATGTTGTTGTTAGCAGAACAGCACAAGCAGCATGCGAAAAGGTCCAGGTCCGCTCGGAAGTCTGACT